TGACTGTCAATGGCCAGTGTGCCAGGGTGGGTGGCACCCCTGGGTATAGGTTGGAGGAGCAGAGGAAGGGCTGGAGGGCTCCTGGCTTGGCAGATGTGGTTTGAGTGTGCAGACCCAGACAGACAGACCGACGACAGACAGGTGAGAAATCTGGGGAAGCTGGTGGTGGGCAAAGGGGACCACACTGCCAACGTCTCTGGTTTTCAGGTGGGGAAATTATGGCAATTGGGGGCTCCCCTGGGGAGAAGAGATGGGAAGGGTGCTGGGGGTGGCTGCTGAGGGAGAAGGAAGGGGAGCACTGCTATGAGAGGCTTGTTGGGAGGGGGAAAGGGTCATGGTCCATCCTCCGGCTTTGGTCACTCAACAGTCCCCCTTCTTTGACCTTGGGACTGTGGGCTGAAGTGCAGTGTGCTGTGTCTGGGCTTGTCCAGGGTCCAAGCAGGAGAGCCGCTCTCTATACTCTGTCTGGGGAATGGGGGTATGTGGACAAACCCACCCCTGGGGGTGTTGCTAGTGTCAGGCAATTCAAGGCTGAGGAGAGACCAGTTTTGGTGGCAGGAAAAGATCAGAGGCGGGTCCATCCACCTCCCTCCACTTTTCCTGCTGACTGGAGTAAACATGGACTTGGCTGGGCTCTGAAGTTGGTGAAGCCGAAGTCTTTGGGTCTGGACTCCATGGAGGCAAGGGGAGGGCTAGGGCTTTCATTCTTTCTGAGGGTCTCAGCTCCAGCAGCCTGCCTCCCCTTCTCCATGACTCACCCTTACCGCATCCGCCATTCCCTCAGAATCACCAGGGAGCTTTAAAAGATTTCTGGGCCTCATCTTGGACCTGAATCTGGGGGCAAGGGGAGTGGGACTCGGCTCTGTAGGTTTTTAAAAAGCTCCCCTAGATAATGCTGTACCAAGCCAAGCTGGAGAACCACAAATATAATTGGAATCATAAAGGATCGCTGCTCTGGAGAGGGAGTAGGAAGACGTGAGTTCCCCCAGGCCCTGATTTTCCCTTGCTGAAACGCAGTAGGCTTGCTGCCCCCTGAGCTGGAATGGGAGAGTGTCACTGGTATCCCCCTCTCATGGTGTCTGCCAGCCTTCTGGACCAAGCACACAGAGGCTGGCTAAGGATCGAGGCTGAATGAATGAGCACAGGGTAGCATGGGCAAATGCATGAATGGTCACTGGGCACAGGCATTCAGGAGAGGCTGGGTGGGGGTGAAGGAGGACTTCCCCCTCTCTGAGGAGGGAGGAATTGAGGCCAGGCCTGCCCTCCCCAACAAGGAGCTGCATGGGGAGGTGTGGAGGGATCCTGAATTGGGAAACACAGCAGGTCCAGATGCCAGCTGGCCAGTGGGCTTGTCAGTGATCCTTAGGGCAAAGCTGTCCCCACTCTGAGATTCATGGCTCTTCCTGCTAAAGGGCACAGGATACCAGGTTTCCCTGCATGGGAGGGTGGGAGGCCAGTGAGGCAATGGAAAGAGTTTGGGATTCTGAGCCACCTTGATTGATGTGCTTTGTGAAGTGGGCATGCCAGTGGCTCTCTCTAGGCCTGTGTCCTATTCTGACCTTGTCACTGAAGCCTGATTTCAGTTCTAATTCCCCCTCTTTCCCGTGAAGTGGAAGGGGAGGGCTTTGAGATGGAAGAGAGAAGGTTCGAGCTATGATGATCTAACACAGACACTGTGAGTGGAGGGTCTGTCCTACAGATGGGATTTTCTAAAGAGATCCAGGGCCTGGCCAGAAGGATGCTCAAAGTGTCAGAGACGGGACAGAGAAAACAGGCAGAGACGCTGGGTGGGACGCATCTGGTGTTGGGTGGGTGAGTTCTGAGCTGGACAGGAGGGAGACATGATCAGAGCTGTATCTCTCTATAGGTCCTTGGCACCTACACCACAGTCACGACACACCCAGGACCTCACAGCACCCCTCCACCTCTGCCTAGTCATCTTTAGCCTTACTGTTGGTAACTGAGCATGGCAGAGGGCTGCAGCACACGGCCTGGCACAGAACCAGGGCTTAATGTTTGTTGAATAAATGAATGAATGAATGAATGAATGAATGAATAATGGGAATGGTGTAGAAAAAGAAAACAATTGCCAGGGACTTCCGGCCTGGATGTGAAGAAGACTAAGCACTAAGGAAGTCCCCTGCCTGGCTCAGATAGGGTGGGCAAGTGTCCTGCCTGGGGTCTGATGCTACCCCATCTTGCACCCCCCCCCCATTATCAGTCCTCATAGATGGTCTGACCTTGAGAAAGACTATGGCAATTGAGGAAGGGAGAAGTCACAGCCTTGGGCAGAGCCTCAGCTTGGGGGATTCCCACCTTCCCCTCCACCTGCCTTCTGGCTGCTTGCTAATTGGCCTCAGCTGGGAGAGCCCCTCCTTTTCTCACCACTCTCTCTCCCATGGGTGTGGCATCGGGGCATTGCTGGAGTTGGAGAGGGAGGCAGTGATCTCCAGACCAGGGAGCAGGGCAGAGGGCAGGAGGCAGGCTGGGAGGGAGCTGACATTTATTGAGTATCTGAGTATTGAGCTATATGCCAGACCATTGCTTATCTGACCTTATTTATGATCACAATCTCTGTGGAGTGTGCATTATCGCAATTTCATCCCCCCTCTTTTTTGGTCAAATGTAGTTTTTAAAAAAATTTAAATTAAATTAATTAACATATAGTGTATTTTTGGTTTCAGAGGTAGAGGTTAGTGATTCATCAGTCTTACAGAACACCCAGTGCTCATTCCATCCCGTGCCCTCCTTAATGCCCATCACCCAGTTACCCCATCCTCCACCCCCCTTCCCTCCAGCAACCCTCAGTTTGTTTCCTATGATTGAGTCTCTTATGGTTGGTTTGTCTCCCTCTCTGATTTCGTCTTATTTTATCTTTCTCTCCCTTCTCTTATGATCCTCTGTTTTGTTTCTTAAATTCCGCATAGCAGTGAGATCATGTGATATTTGTCTTTCTCTAATTGACTAATTTCACTTAGCCTAACACCCTCAAGTTCCATCCACATTGTTGCAAACCCATATTATTTCCTAATAGAGAGACTGCACACACTGTGAAAACAAGGACCACATCTGTCTCGTTCAGTATGTGATCCACGGATTCACGGCCTCTACCATCTTGGTCAGGACAATAGACATCCCAGGACTTCTTCTAGAAAGAAAGAAAAAGAGAAAGGAAGAATGAGAGAGAGAGAGAGAGAGAGAGAGAGAGAGAGAAAGGCCAGGTCAGGCCCTCAAGGGGCGCGGTGGTGTCTCTAGCGGGATGTGAGAAAACAAGTAGAAAGGGGGTTGATGATGCCTGCTTGGTGGGTGGACAGGAAGGTTTTCTGAAAGATTGGTTGAGCTCAGTCCTGGAGGAAGGACAGGTATTTGTCATGTGAGTAGAGGGAGTGACAGGATCCCCAGGCAGCGGGGACCACCAGAGGGAAAGACAGCGGTGTGAGAAGCGACTAGCACTTAGGAAACTGCTGGTGGCATCAGCAGGCAAGCGCACAGGGCAAGGATCCCAGGGCGCAGCTCCAGCTCAGAGTGAGCTCAGAGCAGAAGGGGAGGAGCCAGGTCATGGGGGCGGGGCAGCGTTGCCAAGTGCCCAGCCTAGAATTGGAACTGTCCCCTGAGGACTGTGGGGGCTATTGTAGGTTTCTGTAAGTTGGAAGCAGAGAGATAGGATCAGATTTCAGTTTCAGGAAGATCCCTCTAGCAGCTGTTGGGAGAATGGTTAGGTGGGCGGGAGAGAACAAGCCAGTGGCTGGGGAACCCTCCCCCTCCCCGCCCCCCTGGTCCTGATAGGGCTGTGCCCATACAGCTGAGGCAGCAGGCGCAGAGGTTGAAGAATACTCAGCAGGACTCCCTGCAAGTCTGGATGGCACCTGGAGGTGTTGGAGGTGTCCGATCTCTGGGGCTTCTGACCTGGAGGGGCTGTGTTTAGGAAGACGGGGCCCAGAATGTTCAAAAAGGCTGACAAAGCACTGGATGCTGTCAGCTCCATCCCCACCTGAAATGAAGCTATGTCAGCCCCGGGTGGGGCCTGGTGCACTAGGGGTGCCGGAGATGCGTGCGTGAGTGTGCATGTGCGTGTGCGTGTGTTGACTAGGTCAGAGCTGGAGAAGATGCAAGGGCTAAGGTCCTGACAGGGTGATCAGGCCTTTCTAGTCTGAAAGGATCCTTAGTCTGGAAGGCTAAGGGGAGACGTGGCAGGAGTCCAGAAAACCAAGAGCATAGGCCATCACATTGCCAAGGGCTCTGCCCAAAGCTTCAAAAGGGAAAACTAAATCAAGTGGAAAGAAACTGCCTTTTGTAAGCTAGCTGCAAATTCCCGGAAGAACTGTGGACTCAACACTCAGCTGGGGAGGGCTGGAGAATTCCTGAGCAAGAGGCCAGGAAAGGGCAGGAGGGAAGAGGGCGCTGGAGCTCCAATGGCACCCAGCCTGCGTTTTGGGGTATGGAGGACAGCTGAACTTTGCCCTGCTCTTGCACAGGCTCTGATAGCCCTGGTCGCCAGCTCCTTGACTGCAGAGAAACCCTGTCCTGTAAGGAGGCAGCAAGGGCTGACCCAGACGCTTGCCACTCCTTCTGGACCTGGTTTCGTCCTCTGTCAAAGGGAGATCCACACCGTGCCTCTGATGCCTTGCCGCTGTCATTGTCTTCTATTGATTGAACTAAAGCTGGCTCTGGGTTTCAGAGGCAGGGAGGAGAGTGAAGGAAGTGGGAGATGGGAGACAGAGGAACTGCCAGCTTCGGGGCCAGGGGCCTCAGGGGGAGCTGGAGCGTGCACACAATCCTTTCTCAGAGACTTTCTGAGCACTCATTAGGTGCCAGGGACCCTTCTAGGCCTTGGGGGATAGAGCAATGAACAAGACAGACCCAGTGCTCAGCCTCAGGGAGCACAATTTCTGGCGCATGCACCTGGGCATGTGGGCCTCCCAGCTTGTGGGTGCAGTGCTGGTTCATCGGGCCCTGCAGGGCAGGTGACATCAGCGAATCCCTGTGTGTGCCCCTTGCAGGTGTTCTCTGTGGCGCCCCCGTTTGAGGTCAATGGTCTCCCGCGAGCTGTGCCTCTGAGCCTGCCCTACCAGGACTTCAAGAAAGATCTCTCTGATTACCGAGAACGGGCTCGGTTGCTCAACAGGGTCCGGAGGGTGGGCTTCTCCCACATGCTGCTCACCACCCCCCAGGTACCACTGGCTCCTGTTCAGCCTCAAGCTAATGGGAAGGACGAAGAGGAAGTGTGTGTGTGTGTGTGTGTGTGTGTGTGTGTGTGTGTGTGTGTGTGTGTAAGGAGGCCAGGAAGTCCGGGGAGCCCTGTGAAGGGACTCTGGGAGTCTTTCCCTGCCCCTCTGCTCTGATGCGGGAACTGAGACAGCTCTGGTGTGGGGGAGAATGGTCTGTCCAGGGGGGTCAGTGAGAGAGTGGATTGTGCAGAGCCTGGGGGTGGGGTGCTCTCACCGGGCCACACTTTACTCCTTGGGGCCTAAAGCAAGTGTGGGGGCAGAAGAAGGGCAAGCTACAGCTGCATTTCTTGAGCTAGAATGTTCCCACGCTGTCAGCTCCTTGCCCCGGGCAGGTTTGGATGGGCTGGAGACACCAAGATCTGGGAGTCAAGTGTGCGAGTATCTGTAGAGACCTGGGGTAGGCAGCCACCTTCTCGGGTCATCTTAGCCCTTCCACCCAGATGACTGTCAATGGCCAGTGTGCCAGGGTGGGTGGCACCCCTGGGTATAGGTTGGAGGAGCAGAGGAAGGGCTGGAGGGCTCCTGGCTTGGCAGATGTGGTTTGAGTGTGCAGACCCAGACAGACAGACCGACGACAGACAGGTGAGAAATCTGGGGAAGCTGGTGGTGGGCAAAGGGGACCACACTGCCAACGTCTCTGGTTTTCAGGTGGGGAAATTATGGCAATTGGGGGCTCCCCTGGGGAGAAGAGATGGGAAGGGTGCTGGGGGTGGCTGCTGAGGGAGAAGGAAGGGGAGCACTGCTATGAGAGGCTTGTTGGGAGGGGGAAAGGGTCATGGTCCATCCTCCGGCTTTGGTCACTCAACAGTCCCCCTTCTTTGACCTTGGGACTGTGGGCTGAAGTGCAGTGTGCTGTGTCTGGGCTTGTCCAGGGTCCAAGCAGGAGAGCCGCTCTCTATACTCTGTCTGGGGAATGGGGGTATGTGGACAAACCCACCCCTGGGGGTGTTGCTAGTGTCAGGCAATTCAAGGCTGAGGAGAGACCAGTTTTGGTGGCAGGAAAAGATCAGAGGCGGGTCCATCCACCTCCCTCCACTTTTCCTGCTGACTGGAGTAAACATGGACTTGGCTGGGCTCTGAAGTTGGTGAAGCCGAAGTCTTTGGGTCTGGACTCCATGGAGGCAAGGGGAGGGCTAGGGCTTTCATTCTTTCTGAGGGTCTCAGCTCCAGCAGCCTGCCTCCCCTTCTCCATGACTCACCCTTACCGCATCCGCCATTCCCTCAGAATCACCAGGGAGCTTTAAAAGATTTCTGGGCCTCATCTTGGACCTGAATCTGGGGGCAAGGGGAGTGGGACTCGGCTCTGTAGGTTTTTAAAAAGCTCCCCTAGATAATGCTGTACCAAGCCAAGCTGGAGAACCACAAATATAATTGGAATCATAAAGGATCGCTGCTCTGGAGAGGGAGTAGGAAGACGTGAGTTCCCCCAGGCCCTGATTTTCCCTTGCTGAAACGCAGTAGGCTTGCTGCCCCCTGAGCTGGAATGGGAGAGTGTCACTGGTATCCCCCTCTCATGGTGTCTGCCAGCCTTCTGGACCAAGCACACAGAGGCTGGCTAAGGATCGAGGCTGAATGAATGAGCACAGGGTAGCATGGGCAAATGCATGAATGGTCACTGGGCACAGGCATTCAGGAGAGGCTGGGTGGGGGTGAAGGAGGACTTCCCCCTCTCTGAGGAGGGAGGAATTGAGGCCAGGCCTGCCCTCCCCAACAAGGAGCTGCATGGGGAGGTGTGGAGGGATCCTGAATTGGGAAACACAGCAGGTCCAGATGCCAGCTGGCCAGTGGGCTTGTCAGTGATCCTTAGGGCAAAGCTGTCCCCACTCTGAGATTCATGGCTCTTCCTGCTAAAGGGCACAGGATACCAGGTTTCCCTGCATGGGAGGGTGGGAGGCCAGTGAGGCAATGGAAAGAGTTTGGGATTCTGAGCCACCTTGATTGATGTGCTTTGTGAAGTGGGCATGCCAGTGGCTCTCTCTAGGCCTGTGTCCTATTCTGACCTTGTCACTGAAGCCTGATTTCAGTTCTAATTCCCCCTCTTTCCCGTGAAGTGGAAGGGGAGGGCTTTGAGATGGAAGAGAGAAGGTTCGAGCTATGATGATCTAACACAGACACTGTGAGTGGAGGGTCTGTCCTACAGATGGGATTTTCTAAAGAGATCCAGGGCCTGGCCAGAAGGATGCTCAAAGTGTCAGAGACGGGACAGAGAAAACAGGCAGAGACGCTGGGTGGGACGCATCTGGTGTTGGGTGGGTGAGTTCTGAGCTGGACAGGAGGGAGACATGATCAGAGCTGTATCTCTCTATAGGTCCTTGGCACCTACACCACAGTCACGACACACCCAGGACCTCACAGCACCCCTCCACCTCTGCCTAGTCATCTTTAGCCTTACTGTTGGTAACTGAGCATGGCAGAGGGCTGCAGCACACGGCCTGGCACAGAACCAGGGCTTAATGTTTGTTGAATAAATGAATGAATGAATGAATGAATGAATGAATAATGGGAATGGTGTAGAAAAAGAAAACAATTGCCAGGGACTTCCGGCCTGGATGTGAAGAAGACTAAGCACTAAGGAAGTCCCCTGCCTGGCTCAGATAGGGTGGGCAAGTGTCCTGCCTGGGGTCTGATGCTACCCCATCTTGCACCCCCCCCCCATTATCAGTCCTCATAGATGGTCTGACCTTGAGAAAGACTATGGCAATTGAGGAAGGGAGAAGTCACAGCCTTGGGCAGAGCCTCAGCTTGGGGGATTCCCACCTTCCCCTCCACCTGCCTTCTGGCTGCTTGCTAATTGGCCTCAGCTGGGAGAGCCCCTCCTTTTCTCACCACTCTCTCTCCCATGGGTGTGGCATCGGGGCATTGCTGGAGTTGGAGAGGGAGGCAGTGATCTCCAGACCAGGGAGCAGGGCAGAGGGCAGGAGGCAGGCTGGGAGGGAGCTGACATTTATTGAGTATCTGAGTATTGAGCTATATGCCAGACCATTGCTTATCTGACCTTATTTATGATCACAATCTCTGTGGAGTGTGCATTATCGCAATTTCATCCCCCCTCTTTTTTGGTCAAATGTAGTTTTTAAAAAAATTTAAATTAAATTAATTAACATATAGTGTATTTTTGGTTTCAGAGGTAGAGGTTAGTGATTCATCAGTCTTACAGAACACCCAGTGCTCATTCCATCCCGTGCCCTCCTTAATGCCCATCACCCAGTTACCCCATCCTCCACCCCCCTTCCCTCCAGCAACCCTCAGTTTGTTTCCTATGATTGAGTCTCTTATGGTTGGTTTGTCTCCCTCTCTGATTTCGTCTTATTTTATCTTTCTCTCCCTTCTCTTATGATCCTCTGTTTTGTTTCTTAAATTCCGCATAGCAGTGAGATCATGTGATATTTGTCTTTCTCTAATTGACTAATTTCACTTAGCCTAACACCCTCAAGTTCCATCCACATTGTTGCAAACCCATATTATTTCCTAATAGAGAGACTGCACACACTGTGAAAACAAGGACCACATCTGTCTCGTTCAGTATGTGATCCACGGATTCACGGCCTCTACCATCTTGGTCAGGACAATAGACATCCCAGGACTTCTTCTAGAAAGAAAGAAAAAGAGAAAGGAAGAATGAGAGAGAGAGAGAGAGAGAGAGAAAGGCCAGGTCAGGCCCTCAAGGGGCGCGGTGGTGTCTCTAGCGGGATGTGAGAAAACAAGTAGAAAGGGGGTTGATGATGCCTGCTTGGTGGGTGGACAGGAAGGTTTTCTGAAAGATTGGTTGAGCTCAGTCCTGGAGGAAGGACAGGTATTTGTCATGTGAGTAGAGGGAGTGACAGGATCCCCAGGCAGCGGGGACCACCAGAGGGAAAGACAGCGGTGTGAGAAGCGACTAGCACTTAGGAAACTGCTGGTGGCATCAGCAGGCAAGCGCACAGGGCAAGGATCCCAGGGCGCAGCTCCAGCTCAGAGTGAGCTCAGAGCAGAAGGGGAGGAGCCAGGTCATGGGGGCGGGGCAGCGTTGCCAAGTGCCCAGCCTAGAATTGGAACTGTCCCCTGAGGACTGTGGGGGCTATTGTAGGTTTCTGTAAGTTGGAAGCAGAGAGATAGGATCAGATTTCAGTTTCAGGAAGATCCCTCTAGCAGCTGTTGGGAGAATGGTTAGGTGGGCGGGAGAGAACAAGCCAGTGGCTGGGGAACCCTCCCCCTCCCCGCCCCCCTGGTCCTGATAGGGCTGTGCCCATACAGCTGAGGCAGCAGGCGCAGAGGTTGAAGAATACTCAGCAGGACTCCCTGCAAGTCTGGATGGCACCTGGAGGTGTTGGAGGTGTCCGATCTCTGGGGCTTCTGACCTGGAGGGGCTGTGTTTAGGAAGACGGGGCCCAGAATGTTCAAAAAGGCTGACAAAGCACTGGATGCTGTCAGCTCCATCCCCACCTGAAATGAAGCTATGTCAGCCCCGGGTGGGGCCTGGTGCACTAGGGGTGCCGGAGATGCGTGCGTGAGTGTGCATGTGCGTGTGCGTGTGTTGACTAGGTCAGAGCTGGAGAAGATGCAAGGGCTAAGGTCCTGACAGGGTGATCAGGCCTTTCTAGTCTGAAAGGATCCTTAGTCTGGAAGGCTAAGGGGAGACGTGGCAGGAGTCCAGAAAACCAAGAGCATAGGCCATCACATTGCCAAGGGCTCTGCCCAAAGCTTCAAAAGGGAAAACTAAATCAAGTGGAAAGAAACTGCCTTTTGTAAGCTAGCTGCAAATTCCCGGAAGAACTGTGGACTCAACACTCAGCTGGGGAGGGCTGGAGAATTCCTGAGCAAGAGGCCAGGAAAGGGCAGGAGGGAAGAGGGCGCTGGAGCTCCAATGGCACCCAGCCTGCGTTTTGGGGTATGGAGGACAGCTGAACTTTGCCCTGCTCTTGCACAGGCTCTGATAGCCCTGGTCGCCAGCTCCTTGACTGCAGAGAAACCCTGTCCTGTAAGGAGGCAGCAAGGGCTGACCCAGACGCTTGCCACTCCTTCTGGACCTGGTTTCGTCCTCTGTCAAAGGGAGATCCACACCGTGCCTCTGATGCCTTGCCGCTGTCATTGTCTTCTATTGATTGAACTAAAGCTGGCTCTGGGTTTCAGAGGCAGGGAGGAGAGTGAAGGAAGTGGGAGATGGGAGACAGAGGAACTGCCAGCTTCGGGGCCAGGGGCCTCAGGGGGAGCTGGAGCGTGCACACAATCCTTTCTCAGAGACTTTCTGAGCACTCATTAGGTGCCAGGGACCCTTCTAGGCCTTGGGGGATAGAGCAATGAACAAGACAGACCCAGTGCTCAGCCTCAGGGAGCACAATTTCTGGCGCATGCACCTGGGCATGTGGGCCTCCCAGCTTGTGGGTGCAGTGCTGGTTCATCGGGCCCTGCAGGGCAGGTGACATCAGCGAATCCCTGTGTGTGCCCCTTGCAGGTGTTCTCTGTGGCGCCCCCGTTTGAGGTCAATGGTCTCCCGCGAGCTGTGCCTCTGAGCCTGCCCTACCAGGACTTCAAGAAAGATCTCTCTGATTACCGAGAACGGGCTCGGTTGCTCAACAGGGTCCGGAGGGTGGGCTTCTCCCACATGCTGCTCACCACCCCCCAGGTACCACTGGCTCCTGTTCAGCCTCAAGCTAATGGGAAGGACGAAGAGGAAGAGGAGGAGGAGGAAGAGGAGGAGGAAGAGGAGGAAGAGGAGGAGGAAGAGGAGGAGGAGGAAGAGGAGGAGGAGGAGGAAGAGGAGGAGGAGGAGGAGGAAGAGGAGGAGGAAGAGGAGGAAGAGGAGGAGGAGGAAGAGGAGGAAGCAGTGGCTCTAGGGGAGGTGCTGAGGCCTCGCAGTGGCTCTAGCAGTGAGGGGAGTGAAAGGAGCACAGACCGGAGTCAGGAGGGTGCCCCATCCACGCTGCTGGCTGACGACCAGAAGGAGTCCAGGGGCCGGGCCTCCATGGCTGACGGGGACCTGGAGCCCGAGGAGGGCTCCAAAACGCTGGTGCTCGTCTCCCCTGGCGACATGAAGAAGTCGCCCGTCACTGCCGACCTGGCCCCCGACCCTGACCTGGGCACTCTGGCTGCCCTCACTCCTCAGCAAGAGCGGCCCCAGCCCACTGGCAGCCAGCTGGATGTGTCTGAGCCGGGCACCCTGTCCTCTGTCCTCAAGTCTGAGCCCAAGCCCCCTGGACCTGGGACGGGGCAGGGGGCCGGGGCAGTGACCACAGGGGCGGGAGGGGTGGCCGTCACCTCCTCACCCTTCACCAAAGTTGAGAGGACCTTTGTGCACATTGCGGAGAAAACCCACCTCAACGTCATGTCTTCCGGCGGACAAGCATCCCGGCCTGAGGAGCTGGGCACTGGGGGTGAACTGGGCCTGGAGGCGCCCTCTGATGGGAGGGCTGTGGAGGAGGGGGCCTCCCTGCCCCTAGAGAACGGCATTGCCCAGTCAGGGCTGGAGAGCGGTGCTCTGGCTAGCGCTCCCAGGGACACCCCCCCCGGAGGTGGCCACAGACTCACTGCCCAGTGGCCCAGCCCTTGCCAACGGGCCAACTCCAGTGTCCCCGCTGGAGCCAGGCCCCGAGAAACTGGCCACCATCTCCCCCAGCCGCCACGCCATGGCAGGCGCTCGCCCCAGGAGCCGGATCCCCGTCCTGCTGTCTGAGGAGGACACAGGCTCGGAGCCCTCAGGCTCCCTGTCGGCCAAAGAGCGGTGGGGCAAGAGGGTCCGGCCACAGCAGGACCTGGCGCGTCTGGTGATGGAGAAGAGGCAGGGCCGCCTGCTCTTGCGGCTGGCCTCCGGGGCCTCGTCCTCCTCCAGTGAGGAGCAGCGCCGGGCTTCAGAGACGCTCTCAGGCACTGGCTCCGAGGAGGACATGCCTGCCTCGGAGCCTGCTGCCCCCAGGAAGGCTGGGCGGGCAGCCGCCACCCGGAGCCGGATTCCCCGTCCCATCAGCATCCGCATGCCCACGCCTGCCGCAGCCCAGCAGCCTTCTGCTGCCAGCAGACCCCATGGCGCTGCCCCCGCCTCCGACACAGCCATCACCAGCAGGTGAGAAACCACAGCTGGCCCTACGGTGGCCAGATGGTGACCGCAGAAGGCCTCCAACTGCGGGAGCTTCCCCAGAGCCAAGGTCAGGGCCTAGCAAGGATTCGGAGAAGGACACTTCCTGTTCTCCACTTCCCCAGCTAAGTGTCTCCTCCCACTCAGGTTCCAGCCCTGTCACTGGGCTCAAGGGAGTGGCTACAGTGAACATGTCTAGAGGGGTCATCGGGACGCCAAGCTTGGGGAAGGTGAATGGGGGCCAGTGGGGCTCACACACATCCTCTGGTGTGCCATGAGGCATTTGAAGCCAAAGGTTAAAGACCAGAGTAGTTGGGAGAAAACATTATTCATATCGATGTAAACACGGATAGGTGGTAGAGTAGAATGTAAAATCCATGAGAATTTTAAAGATGAAACAGAGAGGCCAGGTAGCAGTCTCAGGAGCCTGTGGCCCCTAGAGGTCCTGCCCAGGAGGACGGAGCACCAGCCCTAGTTTATCCACCTGTGCCTGGTCTCCACAGCCTCACCCAGGTCTGAAGCTGCAGGGCTCCAGGGCTCAGTGCTCAGCGATTTAAAAAAAAAAAAAAAAGATTTTCTTTCTTTATTTTGACAGAGACATAGCACAAGTAGGCAGAGCAGCAAGCAGAGGGAGAGGGAGAAGCAGGCTCCCCGCTGAGTGTTCAGCGATTCTGAAAATGTCTCTCCCTTTTTGTTTCTTTGCCCTTCTCTTTTCTCTTGCCTTCTGCCCCCTCTCCTTGTCCCACAGGCTCCAGTTGCAGAAGCCTCCAGGGTCGGCCGTCGCTGCTGATCTCCGCCCCAAACAGCCCCCCGGCCGGGGCCCAGGGCCCGGGAGAGCCCCAGCCGGCACCAGGCCCCCTGCCCCGCGCAGTCCAGGCCCCTCCGCCTCTGCCGCGCCGCGCCACCCCAGCGCGTCCCCCCGGAGCCAGTCCCTGTCCCGCAAGGAGAGCTCCTCCCCCTCGCACCAGGCCCGGCCCACCGGGCCCCCGCCTCGGGGCGCCCCGCAGGCCCGGGCCCAGCCTGATGGCACCCCCTCCCCGGGGGGGCCCAAGAAAGGACCCAGAGGGAAACTCCAGACTCAGCGCGCAGCAACCAAAGGCCGGGCGGGGGTCGCGGAGGGCCGGGCCGGGGCCAGATAATGACGCGCGCGGCTCTCCGCGGCCCCCCACCCTCACCTCGGCCCCCCTCCCGCAGCCGGCCACACTGAAACAGCTCCCAGCACAGCCTTACGCGCCTGACGCGCGCCACCCGCGGCCCCAGCTTCCCGCCTGCACCCGCGAGGACGCGCGCCAGCACTCGCCGCGCCCGCCCCCCCGGCCGGGCCGGAGGGGGGCGCCGCGCCGCGGGGGGAGGGCCCAATCCCCGTCCTCTGCCCCATCTCCGTGACCCCTGCCCTCCCCCTGCCGCCCTTCGGGTGGGGCAGGCTCACCCTTGGCCCCGGGGAAGGCTCAGCCACTTTTTCACCGAGGACTCCAGTAATGGGGACGCCCTCCCCCACCCCTTCGCCCACCCGCCAGGCCTCTGCTGCTCTCCGTGCTCCTCCAGGGACCTCTGCTTACACCACCTGCGGCGCCTTCCCCTCTTCCCGGCCTTCTTCCAGCCCAAGCCCACCTGCACGGAAAGGCAGCCTCAAATTCCGGAAGTGGAAGTTCCAGCCAACCCCACAATCTCCTGGGAGCTGTGGTGGTCCCCTTAGCTACCAGGCTGGGGTTGGGGAGCTGGGACCTAGGGACCACTGGTCTACTCAGGTGTGAGAGGGCAGGTCTGACCAGCCCAAATTCAGCTCCATCCTGGACACCCCTGTGGGAGGTAGTGGGCAGGTGATTGGGGGGCTGCTCTCCTGCACCCCTAGGGTGCAAAGTTCTCCTCCCCATAAATTTGGGTGGGTCCTCAGTGGGAACCGTAGAATGTGTGTGTGGGCTGCCTTCCTGGGCACATGTTTCCCAATGGGAAGTTGGAGGGGGGCTTTAAAAAAGGTTTCACCCTCTCCCTTGGCCTCCTGATCTAGTGCTCAGGACCCCTCACCATCAGGAATTCCTTCTTGCCATCTAACCTCAACCCTGCCGGCTGCAGTTTCAGCCAGCCTCCCTCTCTCTTGAGTTCAGTGGAGGTGGAGAATGGCGGGTTTTCATCTTCTCTGCACTGGCCATTTAGAGATTCAGGGACTCAGTTCTGGCCGGGTCACACTTTCTGTCCTCCTGGGGATGGGGAGGGGGCTGGATCAGACCATCATCTTCCCCAGTGGGTAGAGAAAGCAGAAACAGGCAGGTAGACAGCTGGCCCCTGGACTCAAGGTGGAAAGGCCTTTCTGACTTCCAGATTGTGTGCTTGTGTGATGGGTCCGACCCAAGTCCCCTTCTCCCCCAGCTCACCCTTCAGCCTATCCCTTCTTGTACTAACCCCAGCCCATGCAGCTGAGCTGTCCCTGCAGAGGGTGAGGGCTGTGATGCTCCATGAATGGATATGGGGCTTCCTTCTGGGTCTGGCTCCTGCATAGCTCATCCCACCTCATCACGAGCCTCAACTGCCTCCGTCTGGGCCAAGCAGCACCCTGGCTGCAGAAGGGACAGCCAAACTGTCTATCTGGGACAGGTCCCCTGCAGGCCTCCTCAGTCCTCAGCACCCTCAGCCTCTGTCCCCTGGCCTGGCCCCTCTGTTCTTCTCTGGGTCCCAGAAGCAAGGCAAGGCAACCAGGGGAAGAGGAAGAAAGACGCCAACATGCCCCAGCTGTCTGGCAGTACCAAGCCACGATCACTTAGAAGGACGCCCGCGAGGAAGTTGGCTCTGGAAGCAGCCTGGTGGTTGCTGAAGCCTCTCTTGGAGAGTCAGCAGGCTCGGGCAGCTCTTCACACCAAGGTGGTGGCTTCTCTGCAAACGAGCCCAGGGGAGGACTCCAGGTTGGACAAGGTCCATCTCATGCCGACACAGAAGCTCCCAGAACACTCAGGAAACCTCTCCGGACAGAGCCCTCTTTGTCAACCCGAGACCCTCCCAAGGCCTCTACTGCCCTCTGGGTCCAGCAGAGAGGGTGGAAGAGGGGCCACTCCCTCCCACCTAGAGCTTCTCCGAATGACAATCAGCTCGTGCCAGGTGGGGACCAGGGCATGACGCCCAGTGCCCAGGTCCTGGGCCTGCTCCTTGCCACCAACCGAACCGTGAATGTAGGGCCCCCAGCTTCACCCCTGCCCCAGGACCAGCAGCACCCTGGTTTGGTGTTGGGAGGAAAAGGGGGCGGCCTGAGAGAGCCCCAGACCCATCCCACCCCCAGCTTCACCCAGCACTGGAGCTGGGCAGAGACGAAAAACCCTGTCTGCTCTTGGGATTCCAGACCTCCCTAGGGCTCCCATCTATCCTCGGGCCTCTGCATCATTGAATGTCACCGAGGGAAGGAGGGGAAGGGGCGACTGTGGAGGGGACCAGGGGACTGTCTCTGCTCCTCTCCCCAGGAAGGATCCAGGGCAGAGGAAACCACACCTCCCCGTGTCCCTACCCCCAGCAGCAGCCTCTTTCCCCTCGAGCACCCATCCCCTCCACCGAGCACCCATCCCCTCCACCAAGCTGTCCTGGTCCCAAACCCCTTCCCTGTAAAAGAGTGTCACACCCCACCCCCACCATCCCCTCACCCCTCTAGCACTTCCCCATTACCACAACCTGTGTCACTGGCTCAGGTGCAGGTCTGCTCGCCCCAGAACACGCCTCCCTCCCAAGCCACACTGTGTACGAAGCGGGTGTAGGAGAAGGGCCGTGCCCCAGGCACATGGGCTCCCCCTTTCCCAGCCCCTCACTGGGGCCTGGCTCAGTCTTCTCAGCTCTGGGGATCAGCCCTGGCGGGCATGGAGTGGGGGGGGGCAGGGAGATGCCCTTCCCCTCCCCCAGGGAAGCCACTGAAGAATGTTTACACGCCAAACAGAATGTAACACCCTTCCCCACCTCTTCCCAGTCACTGCATGGCCTCTGCCCGCCCTGCACCAGTCCACCCCCACCCCGACACCCTGGAAGCCGCTGTCATGATTAGATCGGGTCTTGGAAGGGAAGTAGCCATCACACCATTAAAAAGCCTGTGGACCTTTCGTTTTGTTGGCCTGGACTCTTCTTTCTTTGGGGAGGAGGGCAAAGCCCAGGTCCTGGGGCTAGGGGTGGGCAGTGGGGAAGAGTGCAGGTTGGTGGACAAGTAGGTAGGAACCATCGTGGAAGCAGATTGTCTCTACAGAGCTGGAAACAGAAGCTGAGGACAGGACAGATACAGGGTCATACTGGGCCGCCCTCTGTCTCTGACTGCAGAGCCTGCCGTGCTCAGCTCCCCTGGCTGTCTCTCCAAGGGTGGGAGACTGAGTCCGGCTTTGTGCGAGCCCGCCGAGAGGGAGGGAGGAGGAATTTTCATTGCCCCGAAGTTAACAGACACAAAGGAGTGTAAGCTAAGCAGCTCCCAGGCAAAGAGAAACCATGGCCATTATTCTAGTAACATCTGTAGAGATTATAAATGAATGTAGCCTGTGACCTAGCATCTCCACTTCTAGACATGTGTCCTTTAGAGGGCCCGGGTAGACTTGCCAAATTCCATGTGTGCAAAGTTACTCACCGCGGTATACTGCACGGAACTCAACAAAACCTCAGCCGCGATCTCACACTCAAAACGTCTAGAAATGGGAGCTTTCTCGTTAAACTGGCACAGACTCATCTGCTATCTTGATCTTGGGGTCGTGGGATCAGGCCCTATGTTGGCGTGGAGCCTTCTTTTAAAAACATTCAGAAGCAGTCTGAACGTCCCCTGATTGGGGCTGATCCGGAAAGCGTGGCCTCCCGTACGGTGGGGGCCCCATCGCAGGGTACTGTGAGGCTCCACGGTGAAGGGGGTGCATGTGCTTTTACACGCCTAAGGACTGGCCTCCGAGCATGAGAGTATGTGGGAGAGCGGAGTGTATGCTGTGCGGCTGTTTGCACGAGTGAGAGGAGTCTGGTTCGCTTCAGGGAGAGGGGCTGGGGCGGGGGAGGGGAAGCTTTCCTGCAGGGTACTTGCTGTACCTTTTGCCTTTTGGACCCTATTTCCGCGGGTGTGAAATTTTCACCGAGGCCATACACAGTTTCCGTCCCAGGACACACTCCTGGCTGTGCCTGGGGTCAGAGGGAAAGGGGCCTAGCTCGGAAGTTCTGCTTTCCCTCCAAGAAAACCACGCACATGTAGCTCTAGCTCTGATGTTCCAGAACATGTGTAACTGTCTCCTGTTCTTGCCCTTGCCCCCTGTGGTCCCCTTGCTTCTGACACACGTGCCGGGGGCTCTAGGTCCTAATTTGCCAGACTTCAGAGGGATCGCCACATGCTTTCAGCTTCCTTCTTGTTTAAAAATGTCAAAAGCAGAGGCGCCTGGGTGGCTCAGTCAATTAAGCGGCTGACTCTTGGTTTCCATGCAGCTGGTGAGCTCAGGGCCTTGATCTCAGGGTCTTGGGATCAAGCTCCAAGTCAGACTCTGTGCTCGCGGGGGGTCTGCTCAAGACTCTCTCTCCCTCTACCCCTCTTACCCCCCCCACCACATGTGCATGGGCTCTCTCTCTCTCTCTCTCTCTCTCAAGTAAATAAATAAATCTTTAAAAAATATAGTCAAGGGGCGCCTGGGTGGCTCAGTCATTGTTAAGCGTCTGCCTTCAGCTCAGGTTTTGATCCCAGGGTCCTGGGATTGAGCCCTGCCTCAGGCTCCCTGCTTGATGGGAGCCTGCTTCTCCCTCTCCCTCTGCCTGCTGCTCCCCCTGCCTGTGCTCTCTGTCAAGTGAATGAATAAAATCTTAAAAAAAAAAAAAAGTAAAAAACAGATCATATTTAGAGTATAAAGGCAAATGTAAACAGCATATAAAATAAAATAGTAAAGTCCCCCCATCCATGAATCTGATCATCTAGAGGTAACTCCTATGAATGGCTTCTTCTTCTCTCTCTTTTTTTAAGATTTTATTTTGAGATTTATTTATTTATTTGAGAGAGAGACAGAGAGTGCTCTCGAGCGTGTGTGCAAGTGGAGGGAGGGACAGAGGGAGAGAATCCTCAAGTGGGTGCCCTGCTGATTATGGAGCTGGGGTGGGGAACAGGGAACTCAACATGGGGCTCAGTTGATCCCACCAACAAAGAGATCATGACTGGGATGGAAACCAA